AGACGTATCTCTCCCCCCCCCCCCCTTCACACCCCCACGTACGGCCACCCTATCACACCCCCCTTACTTACTGTTTATTCTGCAGCTGACACCGGAACACGTCAAGCGAGTCGTCCGTCACGTGCTTGTGCACGCCCCTGTCCTCCTCACTCCTGCCGCGCCGTCTGCCCCAGTCATCGGCGCCCTCCTGCGCCCCGGCGGGTCTGGAACCCGGGGCGTGGGGGTGGCGGTGGTGCTTGTGGTGGCGTCGTGTCTGGCCGCTGGTCGCCATGGTTGTGTTGCCGCATACAGCCTGTCGAGATACAGTAGCACACGATAATTGACTAACTAGTGTCAATAGCTAACTAATTATTTACAGGGTTGCCACATTGGAAAAAAACATCTTCAACAAAAATCAAACCCATTTAATGTCAGATTCAGTGGGTTTTTTAGGCTTATATTCTAATGTGGGGCTGGGTGTGTGTGTGTGAGGGGGAAGGGCTATGCACCACTTCCCCAATTATTTTTCTAGATGTATTTTATATAGTAAACATACACCTTTACTAGTGTCCGCCGCCCCCCCCCCCCCCCCCGGGAAAAGAGTCTGGAAGAAACCTGCTAAATTGTACCTGTGAAATAGGACTTGAGATTCTAAAAATGTAATGGTAAAATAGCCATAGACTTCATGACAATTTAGCGGTTAAATGGTCCTAGACTCCATGACAATCTAGCGGTTAAATGGTCCTAGACTCCATGACAATCTAGCAGTTAAATGGTCCTAGACTTCATGACAATCTAGTGGTTAAATGGTCCTAGACTCCATGACAATCTAGCGGTTAAATGGTCCTAGACTTCATGACAATCTAGTGGTTAAATGGTCCTAGACTCCATGACAATCTAGTGGTTAAATGGTCCTAGACTTCATGACAATCTAGTGGTTAAATGGTCCTAGACTCCATGACAATCTAGTGGTTAAATGGTCCTAGACTCCATGACAATCTAGTGGTTAAATGGTCCTAGACTCCATGACAATCTAGTGGTTAAATGGTCCTAGACTCCATGACAATCTAGTGGTTAAATGGTCCTAGACTCCATGACAATCTAGCGGTTAAATGGTCCTGAACGTTTCTTCGACCCCGCCCATGCCATTGCTGGGTGATCCTATCTTCTGATTACCCCGGGGACTATGGGGCCACAGAATATTGATGATTGGGGGAAATACGGTACGATACGCTACGATAACATCCGGGTTGTCAAGGCTACAGCGAGTAGAACAAAATGGCGTCCTGTGTTACAAGTGTGTTGTTGGGGAATTAGCTGTGTGGCCATCTACAAGGTCAGTCGTACAACCAGCTGTAAGCATACATGTACAACCAGCTGTAAGCATACATGCACAACCAACTGTAAGCATACTCGTACCACCAGCTGTAAGCATACATGTACAACCAGCTGTAAGCATACATGCACAACCAACTGTAAGCATACTCGTACCACCAGCTGTAAGCATAATGGTACCACCAGCTGTAAGCATACATGTACAACCAGCTGTAAGCATACATTTATAACCAGCTGTAAGCATACATGTTCCACCAGCTGTAAGCATACTCGTACCACCAGCTGTAAGCTTACAAGTATAACCAGCTGTTAGCATAATTGTACAACCGGTTAAATGACCAGTTATTCAAGCAGCTGTACACCCAGCTGAATAGAGTCAGCCAGCTAAGTAACCAGCTGTACAGTATGCCGTACGACCAGCCATACAACCAGCCATACAACCAACCTTACATCCCAACCATACAACCAGCCTGTACAACCAACCATACAACCAACCTTACAACCACACAACCAACCTTACAACCAACCCTACAACCAACCATACAACCAACCATACAACCCACCATACAACCCGCCATACAACCCGCCATACAACCAACCATACAACCAGCAGTACAACCAACCATACAACCCGCCATACAACCAACCCTACAACCAGCTATACAACCACCCTACAACCCACCATACAACCAGCCATACAACCAGCCATACAACCAACCCTACAACCCACCATACAACCAGCCATACAACCAGCCATACAACCAACCCTACAACCAACCATACAACCAACCATACAACCAGCCATACAACCCACCATACAACCAGCCATACAACCAGCCATACAACCAGCCATACAACCAACCATACAACCAACCATACAACCAACCATACAACCTGCCATACAACCAACCATACAACCCACCATACAACCAGCCATACAACCAACCATACAACCAACCATACAACCAGCCATACAACCAGCCATACAACCAACCATACAACCAACCCTACAACCATACAACCAACCATACAACCAGCCATACAACCAACCATACAACCAGCCATACAACCAACCATACAACCAACCATACAACCAACCATACAACCAACCTTACAACCATACAACCAACCATACAACCAGCCATACAACCAACCATACAACCAACCATACAACCAGCCATACAACCAACCATACAACCAGCCATACAACCAACCATACAACCAACCTTACAACCAACCATACAACCCGTCATACAACCAGCCATACAACCAACCATACAACTAGCCGTACAACCAACCATACAACCAGCCAAGCAACCAAACATACAACCACCCATACAACCAGCCATACAACCCGCCATACAACCCGCCATACAACCAACCATACAACCAACTATACAACCAACCATACAACCAACCATACAACCAACCATACAACCAACCATACAACCAACCATACAACCAACCATACAACCAACCATACAACCCGCCATACAACCCGCCATACAACCAACCATACAACCAACTATACAATCAACCATACAACCACCCATTAAACCAACCATACAACCAACCATACAACCAACCATACAACCAACCATACAACCAACCATACAACCAACCATACAACCAACCATACAACCAACCATACAACCAACCATACAACCAACTATACAATCAACCATACAACCACCCATTAAACCAGCCATTCAACCAGCCATACAACCAACCATACAACCAACCTTACAACCAACCATACAACCCACCATACAACCACCCATACAACCCGCCATACAACCCGCCATACAACCAGCCATACAACCAACCCTACAACCAACCATACAACCAGCCATACAACCAACCAAACAACCAACCATACAACCAACCATACAACCAACCATACAACAACCATACAAGAACCATACAACCCGCCATACAACCAACCATACAACCAACCATACAACCGACCATACAACCCGTCATACAACCAGCCATACAACCAACCATACAACCAACCATACAACCAGCCATGCAACCAACCATACAACCACCCATACAACCAGCCATACAACCCGCCATACAACCCGCCATACAACCCGCCATACAACCAACCATACAACCAACCATACAACCAACCATACAACCAACCATACAACCAACCAAACAACAACACAACCAACCATACAACCAACCATACAACCAACCATACAACTACCCATACAACCAACCATACAACCAGCCATACAACCAACCATACAACCAACCATACAACCAACCATACAACCCGCCATACAATCCGCCATACAACCAACCATACAACCAACCATACAACCCGCCATACAACCAGCCATACAACCAGCCATACAACCAACCATACAACCAACCATACAACCAGCCATACAACCCAGCATACAACCAACCATACAACCAACCATACAACCAACCATACAACCAACCATACAACCAACCATACAACCAACCATACAACCAACCATACAACCAACCATACAACCCGCCATACAACCAATTATACAACCAACCATACAACCAACCATACAACCAACCATACAACCAACCATACAACCAACCATACAACCAACCATACAACCCGCCATACAACCAATTATACAACCAACCATACAACCAACCATACAACCAACCATACAACCAACCATACAACCAACCATACAACCAACCATACAACCAACCATACAACCAACCATACAATCCGCCATACAACCAATTATACAACCAACCATACAACCAACCATACAACCAACCATACAACCAACCATACAACCCGCCATACAACCCGCCATACAACCAACCATACAACCAACCCTACAACCAACCCTACAACCAACCATACAACCAACCATACAACCCGCCATACAACCAGCTTAACCCCACAAGTTGACATACCGCATCAGGACATGACCAATATGTTGTCACAAAAGATTATGTATATGATGGCGCGTGGCAGAGTACACAGACACCACGTGATCGATCCCCCCCCCCTGCTCCCAACCCTTTCCCAAGTGACCCCTTGTTTGTCGACGTATGCAACCAGCAGCCGATTTGTGAAGTACTGTACAAATAATGGCCGATATCAAGTTGTGTTTGTGAGCACACATTCCGGCGTGCATGGGACAAAGTGCGCATGCGCGAGAATTAGAATAACAAAAACCACGATCACAATAGCGACGCCATGACAAAACAGTGGATAAATATTGGCATCGGTGGTGGTTTAAGTGGGGGGGGGGGGGGGGGGGTGGGGAGGGGGGATATAGTGATCATGTCACCGCCTGGAGCACACTAATTTTAATGTCCCTGAAACGTTTTCCATTAGCTGTAACAAAATAGTCCCTTCAATAGATACAATGACCTTGGATAACTTTAATCTCGGAAGGATTATTTCTCGCCCCCCCCCCCCCGCCCTCTTCCGATCAATATCTTTATCATCCCATCCTCTACCGCCTCACCCACCCCACATCTCAACACACTGTCTCCTCTTATTTCTTTAATCACGTCCAATTGTAAAAAAAAAAAAATTAAAAAACAAGTTGGTACAAAAATACAAGTTTTATTTTAATTTTAATTTTTTTTTACAAAATAAAACAAATTGCAGTTCAGCTTAGGGTTAAATTAAAAGTATGGGTTATAAATACAACAGCTGAATTTGGCAATACATGAAATATCCATTATCTGGGTTAGAGTTACAGTTAATTAAAACAGCTGAACTGGCAACAATTGATCACATGACCGTGGCGGCTGGTTAAAAAAAAATGTCTCCTCACTGATGTTTGTACACACGCTTCACACGTGACGTGATGTTACCATAAATAGAAACTATTCAAAAACACTACCGGAATGAAGATTCGGTAACGAATCAATTTCCTCCATACCACGCGTGTTTAGGTATGTGTCGTATAGTTATGCGGTGATTGTTTTATTTTCTCCGGCAAGCTGTTTGTCACCCGTGTTTAGGCGGTGAAGCATGACGTCACTATAAGAGGGCGGGTTGCCCGCGGAGAGCGGGGAATCCCCTACGATATCCGCGTACTCGGGCGGCTTGGAGCTATATTTAGCCGCAGATTGAAACGCGGGGAGATTGTAAACCCCGAGTTGATCTATCGGCGACCGCGGGGGTTGTCTGACTCTGGTGCCATTTAGACCGGGCTCTGGAATTGATGACCGGGCCTGGTCAGCGCGTTCGATGGCGATGGTGCAGACGACCACGTGGCTGGGCGTGTCGGCGTAATCGAAGGACAAGATGGAGGCGCGCCTCGCCGGAAGTGGGCGCCGTTTTTGCATCGTCTGCACGATGTGGACGCAGCAGGTGAGAAGGTGAAGGCCGGAGGAGAGCAGCCCGCAGACGTAGTAGAGGGGGGCGGCGGTGTCCGTCACGAAGGTCCCGGCACCCAGTAGTAGAGCCGTCAGGACCAACCCCACCGGGGTCAGCACCGCCCGCGCCTTGACCTTGACCTCCGTGCTAGGCCCGAGGGACAGGGCGGCCAGCGCCCCCATGGTGCCGGCGCTGAGGGTCAGGGATGACGTCATGAGGAGGCTGGAGGGGAGGGAGGCCTGCTCCGTCCAGGCGAGGATGACGGAGATGCAGGCGGTGCCCAGGGCCAGGCAGTAGGTGTAGAAGTACAGGAGCAGGCAGCAGCGGGGGTCGTCGGACGCCATCGGCCTTGACCTTCATGACACGCGGAACAAGGTCACCTGCGTTTGTGAGAAAATAATAATGCATTTTTAGTGTGTAAACCAATTTGGGAAGCTATCGCTATAAATAAATGGCGTCGTTCGTTATCCCACGCCCCCACCCCCTCCCCTCATAAAATTACGTCACATGCTTCTCGATCTACTTTACTTACCCCGCCTCCTAACACACAAAATTGTTTTTATTTTTAGTTTTTCATAAAGAAATGCAAAAATCCAAGTTACGTTAGATTTGTTACGCCCTCCCCCCCCCCTACACACACACTGTGCTTCTTTCAGAGATTTTTCTATTTCGTCGGGTGATGTTGAACTTCATAAGTGGGGTGGGTGCACACACATCAAATAAAGTTACCCCCCCCCCCCCCCCCCCGCCCATAGATGAATGACGATAAAAAGTAAACGACTTCCTAACATGCCAATCAAATAAACTTAACAACTTCGTACAATCTACTGAAGACTTTATCGATAGAAAGGCACCATCCCCCCATACCTCATAGATAAATGAAGTAATATGTAAACAACTTTCTAACACCCAAATCTAATTAACTTAACAACTTCGTACAATCTAATGAAGACTTTAACGAAAGAAACTCGCCTATTCCCCCCCCCCCCCCCCTTTCCCATTTCTAAAGTTCTATTCCGAGAATTTTCATGCCAAATTCCAGATTTCCACACCCGATTCCCCTAAGGCTACGTCTAATCTAATTTCAAGCTCCCTTTAAACTTGGAGAGCCAAAAAAAAAAGATGAAAAAAAAATCTTCCTCACAGAGCATGTCAATAAATCATTATAAGGCTTTGGGAAGATTTGCTGTAAAGAGCACAGTGACAACACCTTTATAATTTTTGTTCGTTATAATGTTCGCTTGAAAGGAAACGTCACTATAGTGAAGGCTTGTATCTTTTTTAAGGATATAATTACTAGGAAGAGCTGCTTTTGATTTAAGTACGCCGAATAGGTTAAGAAATGGATCTGTTATTTTAACCCTTTATCTACTGACGGTACTTATAAGTACCACTTTAATTAAGTGCCTGTATTATTTTAAATTAAATACGAATTTTAAAAATTATTGATGTATTTTATAGTATTATCTCCCCCGAGTCGCCGGTAGTCGGAGGTATCAATGTTTTTAAAAAAATTAATGGTGTGGCGCTTTTTCAATGTCTTGCTATATCGGTAGTTCACAATTTTTCTGTACATTTCTCACACCCGTTCCTGATTTCCTTTTGTTTTACCTTATTTTTCAAGTTTTCAAACCCAAATATTTTTTATTGGCACCTTCAATAGTCAGGCAAACGCGTTTAACTTCTAGTTATACAAGTTTAATCAAATTGTCTTTGTATTAGATCAATGTTTACAAGTGGACTTATAAGTACCGTCAGGGCACACGGTCATTTTTTAAGGATTTTTTAGAAAATTGCAGATTTGTTAGGTGGAGTTACATAAATATTGTCTTGATAATTACTTATCGAAATGTACTCAAAAAATGATATTTACACATTTATAAGAAGGTTTGCATATGGTTTACCTAAGAAATATTGTAATTACATGTTAATTTCTAGTAGTAAAAAAATAACAAGAATAAAGGTATCAGTTGCAGGCTCGTTTATAAGGTTTAGTATACTTCATTTGTATACCAAAGCCTAGTTCAGGTTGTAAGATTTAATTTGTTAGTTATATTTACTGCAATGAACTGTCTTGCCTACAACAAATAGCATTTACATAATGTATACCTGTAGACTAGTAATAGTCCATACTTCTGCATATAGTATAGATCTATAAGGTAAATTTTAATCAGTAAACAGAAAAGAGTAATCCACTACTTCTTCCAAAACACATTGAGCTCACTTCTATTTATGAACTTTGCACTGTAGTGTAGACTTGTCATAACATTATAGTAGGCTACAATTATATTAGTATTTCTAGTAGTTGTGTGCTGAATGACTAGGCTTTTGTTTGTTTATGCGCCTCATTGTACTAGTTATTGGAAGCTGCCAGCAAAAGCATATTCATTCCGGCAACCGTTGCTAAACTAGAAAGACCACAGACAAGATTGAGGGAGCATGACATGTCGACTACTTTTGCTGTGTTTGAGGTCTAAGATGTGTTCCGATAGAAAATCCAGTAAAAATCGTACTCAAAATATACTTTTGTGCTGTATTTATGTGTGAAAATTACAAAAAGTGATTGTTATAATGATTGCCATTTTATTAGTTAATAAATTGTATCGTTTGTTCCTGTTTTGTAAAAAAAAAATTTTTGAAAAAAAAATGTCCTAGTTTACTGACGGTACTTATAAGTACCAATATCTGTTTGGGCCATTAAAAATTTATGAAACGAAATTTCCTTCGATATATGCTTTGAATGTGCCAAAAGCAATATAGTAACACATTGTTTAAGTAAAAATCTCATTCAGAACATAATTCCGTAAATAAAGGGTTAAGACAAATTACCCACCCGTTGTACTGAGAGCTATTTTGTATGAAGCTATTGTATGCTGTTTGCCTGTTTATTTGTTATATTGCTACTGTAGGCTGTTTTTTTTGTTATATTGCTGTTGTAGGCTGTTTATTTATTATATAGCTTTTGTAGACTTCATTTTTATATAGCTATTCTAGGTTGTTTGTTATATTGCTTTTGTAGACGCTGTGTTATATACTTATTTATGCTGTTTATTTGTTATATTGCTACTGAAGGCTGTTTTATTTGTTGCATTGCTATTGTAGGCTGTTTTATTTGTTGCATTGCTATTGTAGGCTGATCAATAAAGTATAGTTATTTTTTTTGTTTTTATACTTTTAACTTTTTTTTTGTAATAAATATATATCGTGGAGTGACGGGGGTGGTCGGATGGTAGAGCTAACGACTGCTACACTGTAAGTCTCGAGTTCGGATCCCAAACTTGAGGATGTTGGACGTCCGTGAGTTCACCCAGCTCTGATGGGTACCTAACTCACGTTAGGGAAACTAAGGCGGTTGGGCATAGTGCTGACCACACAATCCCCCATGTATGCCGAGGCCATTGAAACAGATAAACTCTACTTCATCTGCCCCATGTGTCTTGAGCACGAACGGGAAAAGTAACGCAACGTTCTTTTTTTTAAATAATCAACAATTATTTTAAACAGCTCATTAAAAATCCGCTTAATATTAAAAACGAAACAAACCAACATTTCTTTCATCCTCTTCGATTTTAACTCTAGTGCTGGAAGTGATTCCCTCCCGTTGACTCCGATTTAAGCCTGCTTTTCTATTAGGATTTGCTTCAAGAGTTGCCGTCCCTAGCTGACTAGCCTCATCTGCCTGATAGTTCGAACTCGAAACTTTTAGGATTTACAACCATGAGCTTTACCAACTCGACCCCAAATTTTTTATTTTTGTTGTTGTGAGTGACGCGTGATCACGTGTGAGCTGTCAACCAATCACAATAATGTTTGCCCCTATACCACAATGGAGTGTCGGCTGTGATTATCAATGTCGCATTTAACAAGTTCGCCATTTGACAGAAAACAATTTGCGCAGTGCCACCCACTTCATTATGCAGCGTGCATTCTGATAATCATAACAAAATATCGTGTCAACCCATCATTGGATGGCAGAATATGGGATTTTTTTACATGCATGTTTCCGTCGGAAATTAAAGCGATGTGCCAGATTTATTTTTTACAATAAATAATTAGATTGAAAAAAAATTATCCTTGTCGTTTTAGAAATAGAACTTATAGATGAGGAAGAGTGTGTATGTGTGTGTTGGGGGGGGGGGGGGGGTGGCTTGAGTTGGCCCCATTTTAAAAAATTGGAGGCATTCTCAACTTTGACATTAGCTTTTCAACCATTTCTCTCTAGATAAATTAAAAGAAAATGTGTATCGTCCTGGATGAATTACACACTGCGCACTCTCCCCCCCCCCCCCCCCCCACCTCAGTAACACATCGTACTTTTTATTCTTTTATCGTCATTACAATAATCAGAGGCGTAGTTAAGAGATGGCAGGTGGGGCGGTCGCCACAAGCGCCAATTCTAATGGAGCAAAAAAAAAAACAACAACGGAGTAGAAACAAAAATTTAAAGCTTATTATGAGCTGTATTAGTGAAAGACAAAATTACAGAAATAGACTACTTCCTTTCCTGAATGTTTTAGCTGAAAATAAAAAGATTATTCTGAGCTGCATTAGTGAATTCTACACAAAGTTAAGGAAATAGACTGCTGCTTTTCCTGAATGATAGCCAGTTGCTGAATCAATTATGTGGCGTTACAATAAAAGCAGTTAAGGGACAGTGACTAGTAAAAGGTGCTCACAAACTTTCCTAATTTGTGAAGAGAGGGGCGTTCTTTCGCCAAAGTAAATAACTATAAATAAATTAGTAATGGGGGGGGGGGGGGTCAAACCCAATAGTTTGCCCCTGTCGCCGGAATGAGTAATTATCCCTCTGACTGTAATTAGCTATAGTTTACCAGAGCATTTTGAAAACAAAAACCTAACAGATATATTTCGCACAGTAGCAAAAAACTGTTTCATATTAAAAGATTCAACTTGGCTGTAATCGCGGATCAGGTTGGAAAGTACAAACAAACAAAAATGTTTGTTAAATGGTTCGAAATGGTCTTCTAGATTTAATAAATGACTTTACACTTGTTTTGTGATAAGTGTGACTGGGGATTGTTTTGTAAACTTTTACCGATGTAATTAATTTTATTATTACTTTATATAAAGTGTATAGAATTTTGTTTTTGATTATGTGTAATGTAATACGTATTTTCTGCGTGTTGTTCAAAATCAGTTTTAAAAAGGGTTTCTTTCATGTGTGTGTTTTACTGATAATTCAGAAAATATTATTTAATTTAGCCTAGGATTTCAAAAGTAAATTTTATCTGTGTAAGCGGTGTAATACAATGGTGGGGTTTCCTTTGTCGTGACCATTTAGAGTTATTCTGACTTAAAATGCTTATATTTTGTTGTCTTTAGGCTAAATGTACAATTTAATATTTGACGTCTTTAACTAAAAAAATAATTAATTTAAATAATAAATAATTTTTGTCTTTAGGCCAAAGGTATGTTAATATTTTATTTCTTTATTTTATATTAAAAATAAACTTTTGACGCGTATTTGTGGCTGAGTATACAATTAAAACCAAATTCTAACTTTGTTTTGTCAGAAAGATGTGTCGCTGGATTTCATGGAAGGTCTAGAGAGAAAAACAACTTAAATGTCTTTTTGATTTACAAAATCATCAACTTAAAAACTTGATTTTTAATTACAAAATGATCAACTTACCGAACTGAAGTTGGAGAGAGAGGTCGTCTGTCAACAGGGTCTCCGTCATCCAGCAGTGCCTCACGGTCCGGCATCAGTGATTGTGACGTCAAACACGAGGGGGCAGTCAAGCGTGGAGAGTTTTATTTTTATCGAAACAAACAAGGGTGGCTGGATATTGTAGAGGGGAGGGGATAGTGGGTGGGTGGGGTGTGGGGGGTAGTAGTTTAAAAAAACGGCCAATGTGAAAAAAGGCCTCCGTGCCTACTGTTGTTGCCGTTAAATAAATAAAGTTAAATAAATAATAAATAAATAAAGGTATAAGTTGTGGTTGGAAGGAGTGAGGTTGGGTTTAATAAGGTAAGTAGGGGTTCGGTGTGGGTTGGAAAACGTGAGATAGGGTTCTGGGGTTCAAATGGAAGGGGCGAGGTTGGGTTTAATAAGGTAAGTAGGGGTTCGGTGTGGGTTGGAAAACGTGAGATAGGGTTTAGGGGTTCAAATGGAAGGGGCGAGGTGGGGTTCAAACGAAGGCCGATTGGGGTTTAGAGGTATGTCGGAAGGGGTGGGTGGGGTTTATTATATAACTGGAAACAGTAGTGTGGTTGTGTTTAAAAACACCGTGTTGTTGTTTACCCAGCCATTAAAAAAACAAACAAATATTGCTGCCTTCTTTCACCGGGCCAGCAGTTTTACAACTCTCCTATGGGTTCTTGTCACCTTGATTCCTGTATTCCAGATTCTTTATCATATGGATTCCTTGATATTTGCGATTCCTGTTATTGTGGTTCCCTGTTATATGGGTTCCCGTGTAATTTGCTCCCTATTATATGGGTTCCCTATTTGAAAAACACTTGAGATAGCGATTTAGCTTCGCTGTCCGGCGCAGTGGAAAACAGGAGTGAAATCAGGACACCGTCATTACACGGTGTGTCCATTAATTACACTCGTTCATTACATTCACTAGACTATACTTATATTAATTATCATGGCGCGGTATTTAGTTTAAGCATTGGTATACTTCTGGTTAGCATTACACAATCTCTTCTTTGTGCAAAAAATCTCCAGTGGACTTGTGGTAAAGACGGGATGTCGGCAAGTTGTAAACACAGTCATGCGGGTAATCTCAGAGTGTACTTGTGAGAGCTTTGACGATATCTTTGTGGTCGTATGGGGAGTGAGTGTGGGGAGGGAGTGTGGGGAGGGAGTGTGGGGAGGGAGTGTGGGGAGGGAGTGTGGGGAGGGAGTGTGGGGAGGGAGTGTGGGGAGGGAGTGTGGGGAGGGAGTGTGGGGAGGGAGGGAGTGTGGGGAGGGAGGGAGTGTGGGGAGGGAGTGTGGGGAGGGAGGGAGTGTGGGGAGGGAGGGAGTGTGGGGAGGGAGTGTGGGGAGGGAGGGAGTGTGGGGAGGGAGTGTGGGGGAGTGAGAGGGGAAGGAGTGTTGCAGGGAGTGTGGGAAAAGTGTAGGGAGGGACTGTGGGGGAGGGACTGTGGTTGGGAGTGTGGGGGAGTCAGCCAGTGTGTGTCAAGGAACATGGGAAGGGAGTGAGTGGAGGGACTGTGGGGAGGGGCTGTGGGTGGGAGTGTGGGTGGGAGTGTTGGGAGGGAGTAGGACTTTTGTGACGATGGACGGGATTGTTAATTTCTCATTAAAACAGTAACGCCATTTATAACTGATCATGTCATGAACTAATAACTAACTGAAAACAAATACAGCTTAATAGACCAAGCACATCACGGTATTCAAAAATGTGACATTTTAATCACTCTAACAGACATTTTCATAGACACAGTAGCGTCACAATGATAGGGATTGGGGTGCGGACCGCACCGGGGTGACACCAAAATGCCTACAGTTCTAGTACACCGTTGGCGGATGGGGGGGGGGGAGTGACACCCTGGGTTACCGCCCCCGGGTGTTGCCTGACTTATTGACGCCACTGTGTAGACCACCAGCGCTTATGTTATCTAAACTTCAAAATTGCTTCTCACCCCCCCCCCCTCACACACACACTCACACACACATAAGCCCACTATATTATTTGCTGGGTTTTTAAACAAAATTACAACAACGTCATTTTAAAGAGAAATAACTCGTCAGATCATTAGCAACAACAACAGCAATAATTATCGGGTTAAAAGAATAAATATGTAACAAGGTGGTGTTAACTCATTCATCTGATTATATACAATCACAAGAGTGTTACAGAAATAATTAAGGTATGCCTAGTCTAATGAAGTATTATATAACTACTCTTATTCCATCTTTCAACACATTAAATAATATAACACAACGATAGTCCAGTTCCTAAGTACATGATCTGAGACTACAAATTATGTAAATGCATGTAATTTATGTAAATTATGTAAATGCATGTAATTTATGTAAATATATGTAAATATATGTAATTTATGTAAATGTAATTTACGTAAATGCGCGTAATTTATGTAAATGTATGTAAAGTAAAAAAGTAAAAGTACAATTCTCTTTTCAAACCTAACAATCCATCGGGCCAATTAAATAAAGTACATTTTCTCGACCTCGGTATATGAAGGGATGGTGTGGTCAGCACTATAGCAAGCCGCCTTAACTTTTAGTAAAGTGAGTCTGGTGCCCATCAAACCTGGGTAGGCGCTGGGATGTTCAGCAGTGTTGTGTACCAACTGAGATCCGAACTCGAGACCTTTGGGGCTAGCAGTCGAGCGCCCCATACGTGTACATACTACGCTTATTTTTAAATCGCCACAAAACCTACGGCCTACCACAGTAAAACTAAGGTACATAGTCATAAGCTTGTGTCCAGCAATGGCGCAATTACGACAGCTGTGAGGAACCCTCTAGTTGGTATCCGAACGCTGGTCCCCCAGCTTGTGAGCTGGTGAGCTACCCACTGGACCATCACTTGTTTCCCTCGCTGCACTATGACACGCGCGCTTATGTTAAAGGACACTCACCAGGGCTATAAAACCGGCCGGGTGAGCTTTAGGGCGGGATGGGGATGAGGGGGGGGGGGAGAAACGAGAAGGGAAATAAATCTCATCTAAGAGACGTGTACTCCTAGGCGGATTTAGCCTTTGGGTTTGTTTAGGTTGGGGGAGGGGGGGGGGGGCGACGACGACAGGGGGGATGTATTAATATATTTATTTGAGAGGGGGGGGGGGGGGGATAGGCCCAGTGTATTTCTCGAGATCCACCCATCGATATATACGTTAATAAATATTTAGATCATACTTTATAACCATAAAAATGTTACAAAAAGCACCCAAAAAAGTGTTGTATTGATAATCCATCTTTCCCAAATCTTGCATCCCAAACAAGCCTTATAGTCTTGCAGCTAATTCAAAGAGCTGAAACTCGTCATCGGCTTTACAGAGCTGTCTAGCTGTATGGTAATAATGTAACGTTATTTACGGCTGCAAAAAAACTGCTACGTAAAAGAACTAACATTACAGTCTTTTTTTAGGCCCCTATATTAACAACCCTAGCATACCCCTTGGCTTTTACACTGACAACCCTAATGTACTTGTGGGCCCTACATTGACAACCCTAATATACCTAAGGGCCCCTACATTGACAACCCTAATATACCTAAGGGCCTCTACATTGACAACCCTAATATACCTAAGGGCCCCTACATTGACAACCCTAATATACCTAATGGCCTCTACATTGACAACCCTAATATACCTAAGGGCCCCTACATTGACAACCCTAATATACCTAAGGGCCCCTACATTGACAACCCTAATATACCTAAGGGCCTCTACATTGACAACCCTAATATACCTAAGGGCCCCTACATTGACAACCCTAATATACCTAAGGGCCCCTACATTGACAACCCTAATATACCTAAGGGCCCCTACCTTGACTACCATAACACCAAAATCCTTACTAAGCTGCAACTAAATGAAATCCACTTGTACAAAGCCAGAAGAAATTCTTTACGTATTTGTTTTCCCCCTTCCATACACTCTCCATTTCTCTCTATATCTCTCTCCTCTCTCTCTGTCTAGTTCAAATCCGCGTTCAAGTCTGAGTTCACCCAACCCCCACGTTATGGAAAGGAAGGCCGGTTGGACATAGTGCAGACCAGTACACTATACTATTCCTTCAAAGGCCGAGTTCACAGAAACAGGTGAACTCTATTTCACTACCCCATAGGCCGTTTTGTTCGAAAGGGAATTTTACTTTTTTTTTTACTCTCTCTCTCTCTCTCTCTCTCTCTCTCTCTCTCTCTCTCTCTCTCGCTTTATCTCTCTCCCATCTTTCTCTCCACTTACACACATATTACTCTTAGCTTACAGACGTTATGACACACGGTCATAATCCAAAAACACGGAGCTACATCCTCACACACACACACACACTCTTCATCACACACACATACATTCTCCATCACACACACACACATACTCCATAACACACACTCTCCATCAGACACACACTCTCCATCACACACACACTCTCCATCACACACACACTCTCCATCACACACACACTCTCCATCACACACACACTCTCCATCACACACACTCTCTCCATCACACACACACTCTCCATCACACACACAATCTCCATCACACACACTCTCCATCACACACACTCTATCACACACACACTCCATCACACACACACTCCATCACACACACACTCCATCACACACACACACACACTCCATCACACACACACTCCATCACACACACACTCCATTACACACACTCTCCATCAGACACACACTCTCCATCACACACACACTCTCCATCACACACACTCTCTCCATCACACACACACTCTCCATCACACACACACTCTCCATCACACACACACTCTCCATCACACACACACTCTCCATCAAACACACACTCTCCATCACACACACACTCTCCATCACACACACACTCTCCATCACACACACACTCTCCATCACACACACACACTCTCTCTCTCTCTCTCCATCACACACACACTCTCTCTCCATCTCACCCATACTCTCTCTCTCTCACTCTTACACGCACATATGTTTTGCTCACAGACATTATGACACTGGCATAATTCAATCACACGTCCCTTGCCCACAGAAATGGAAATTTCGGC